GGAAGGATTGAGAGTTTGAGGCCAGCCTGGGTTACATAGTGAGTTTGAAACCAGTCTAGGTTACATAGTGAGATCCTATCTTAAAAAAAAAAAATCTAATTGATCATTTTTTACTCTAAAACCAGACCTATATACTGTTGTCAATCACATCACCAATATTCTTAAAGCATGTTTGCTTTACATCCTGACTCAGTGTTTGCTTTTTGATAGTCAACAAGACCTCTTGCGAGGTAGTGGAATATAAATATTAATAGGACAGCTCTGGAACTGCCTTGTTCAAATCCAGAGTGTCACTTTGTTGCTGTGTGACTTTCAACAAATTACTGAAGTTTCCAGTTCCCTCCTCATAAAGTTCTTATGAGGTTTAAATAAATCAGTCACATACATTAAATAGTACTCAACAAAAAGGGGGCACTCAACAAACATCAGTAGTCATATTTTTAGATTTTTGCTTAAAATCTTTTTCTGTGATTCTGACAACACCTTAATCTAGACCTTTAGCTTTACATGTAAGTGATTAAAATAGTCTCTTATATGGCCTCCTTCCTCCTCCTCTAATTCAGACTGCACACCACAGCTGGACTGTCACTTTTTGGGTTAAGGAAATAGCATTTGTAACAAATAATCCTAACCCCTTATCTAACATTCAAGGTCTCCCACAACTTCATGACCTGCATATGGATATCCACTACAGAACCTGGTACCTGGGGGACCTGGCCTACAATTCCAATGTTAGCACAACCTTCCATTTAAATGCGTCTAAAAAAAAAGGTCTCCCATAACTGGTCCTTCCATACCTCTTTAATTCATGCTTCCTACATGGGGGGAGGGGAGGAAGGGAAGCATTCAAAAGGTATTCATCAGATTGTGCTTAAAATAAAATAAAAATCCAGAAGCAGCAAAAAAAGCATCTTAGGGATACGGGAGTGGGAAGGATGGAAGTCTGATATTTTCTGTGACAAACTCTGCTCGATTAACTGTCCAAGTATAAGTTTTGAAAAAATTAAAACTCGGAAGATAGATACAAATCAAGAGAGAAAAGAAGGAAAAAAAAGAGAAAGGTTAATTTACTAAAGCAAACAGTATAATCTGCAATTTGGCTTCCACGCTAAATTTTATGGATAATCAAGAGACCTATGCAAGGTATAGCTGGGCGTATCCATTCACTCAGTGGAGCTACCCTAGTTGCACACTGAAGAGTTCGGGTTTTATCAATAAGCAACAGGGATGCGAGTAAAGGTTACTGAACTCTTTAAAGCAACTGAGGCCAATAGGAGAAGGGGACCAGGAACTAGAGAAAAGGTTAGATCAAGAAGAATTAACCTAGATGGTAACACACATGCACAGGAAATCAATGCGAGTCAACTCCCTGTATCCCTGTATCCTTATCCCAAATAGCAAAAACCCTTGTTCCTTCCTATTATTGCTTATATTCTCTCTTCAACAAAATTAGAGATAAGGGCAAAATAGTTTCTGTCAGGTAGTGAGGGGATGAAGGGGAGAGGGAGGGGGCAGGGAGGCTAGGGAGGGGGTAGAGAGAATGAGGGAGAAATGACCCAAACACTGTATGCACATAAAAAGAAATAAATACAAAAAAAAAAGGTTATTGAACTCAGTGGGATAGAATAAAAACAATATTTTGAAAAGACAAAACAGGAATTATTTTGAGACATACTTGATGGGGAAGAAACAGAGTATGGTAAGACACAAAATCTTCACTAATAGAAACATGAGGTGATGAAAGCCTGTATTAGGGTGATGATTGTATAAACAGAAGGATTTGATTTCAAGTCATTTTGCAAGAACACAGGGTATGTTTGCTGGCCAACTAAACATGAAACAAAGGGAATGGGAAAAAATAAAATAAAAAAGAGGAACACAACACTCTCCTAGCAGAACAGGACTAAAGGAATAGTTGTAAAATTAAATAATGATTCCAAAGTTATAAACCTGAAGGACAAATGTTAAAATACAGTTCAATATACAGAATTCAGTACTGCTTATGTGGCTCTTTTTTCATTTAAGTCTCCAGTTGACTTAAAACATTTTTGGCTCAATTCAGTTAAAATCTCTACTACTTGATTAACACTGTCTGGACTGCATCATCTCATATATGCAGCAGATACACAACGCATCAGTTATTTTACTAAAGACTGTTTTGATGTCATTACCTTGTTTTCAAAATTACTTTTTTTTTTTAACAATTAGTAGTTATTATAGGAAAGTAAAAAATAAAGATAACTAACATGATTATGTTTGCATTTCAGAAAGATAATTTTGGAAACAGTGGAAAATATAACAGATAAGAAATGACAGCATAATATCGACATGAAGAATGAGAATTCTGACCAAAGGCATTAGCAATGGGTATAGAGAGACAACAATGGGTATGGAGAGATGGGGCCTTCTTGGAGAGATACTTAGGAAGCAAAATGGGCAGGATGTAAAACCATCTGAAGAGGGACAAGGCAGAAGAAATCAACAATGACATCAAGGTTTTCCGTTTAGATGACTTTGTTCATGATGAAGCTAAGTAAGGTAAAGAAATAGTTTTTGTGAAAAACACAATGAGTTCTGTTGGGCTATGCGCTATGACAGAGTCAAAGTTAATAAAAATAAATTGGACTAAATGAGCTCCAAATTCCCCTTAGTCTTCCATTCTACAATAGTGAAGACTATCCAAAGATTTCATCACTCTTTCAAATTAAGTTCTATTACTCATTATCTTCAGTGCTCAAGAAATTAACTGTACTAGGGAGTGGAAATAAGATAACTTAACATTCTTGTTCCAACTTTTCTATCCACTTTAGATTCTATTTTGTGGTACTGGGAATTGAAGCAAAGGCCTCTTAGTAAGCACTCTACCACTTGAGCTATTCCCCCAGCTCTTTTTGGAACATTAATCACACATTTTCCCTACATAGTTGACATTAAAAATAAACTTTGTACGTGAAAACCCCCAAATTATGCCTCGATTTATATAAACAATGTGATCCAAACCTATTTGAAAGGTCTTAGCAAGAAAGAAATAGAGACCGCTTTCTTAGAAGTGAGAGCTAACATGGAAAGCCATTTCTAGTTAAGACTGTAGCTCAAAGCTTTAAAAGTATAATAGGGGGTAAAAACTTAAAAATCCTTCACCTGACCTCACTGTCCCTATCAACGATCTCCACACTTCCCTTCCTTTTGGAAAAACTCCTTGAAAGTCATTTACTTTGCTCTCTCCATTTTTCTTCTCTTACTTGTTCTTTTTAGAAATTTATTTTCATTACATAGTTCAAACATATATAAAAGTGGAGGGCATCCAACAGTGAACCCCAATATATCTATTATGCAGCTTCAACAACTAGCAAAATATGTTCAACCTTGTTTCAGCAATACCCTTCTCTTCCCTCCCATTCCCTTCTTTTTTAAAATTAGTGTGTTAATTGTAAAAGGAGGTTCATTCAGACATTCCCATCCATACATATAATGTACTTTGATCATATTTACCCATTATTGTTCTTTTAACCCTTTTAATGTAGCTTTTGGCCCAGTCACTCCATCAAAACTGCTCTTATCAACTGCCAAATACAAAGGTAAACTGGAATTTTCACTGTTCTTAGCCTGCCAGCGTCACTTGATATGGATGCTCACTCCATCCTCCTGAGATTACATTGTTCCCTTGGTTTCCAGGATACCACATCCTCTTCACTTTCTTCTTTCTCTGTTTCATTGCTGGTTTCTCCTCTTTCCCAACCCTTTAATGTTTGAGTGTCTCAAGGATCAGACCTGAGTTTCTTCCATAATTATACTCACTTCTTAGGTGGTCTCTGTCTGCTGAGAAATCTTACTGATTTTACTTTCAAAACATTCTGGGTTTGATCACTTACAACTCCCTGCACTGCTTCAGCTTTGGTCTGAGCCATTATTATCTACTTCCACAGCCTCCTACCTGATCTTCCTGTTTCTATCCCTTCCCACTACAACCTATTCTCAACACAGCAGTATGTGTGACAGTGATTCTTTCAAAATGCTAAACCAGATGCAGTCACGTCTCTGCTGAAATTCTGCAGAGAATGGTTCCTTAATTTTACTCAAGGTTAGAGCTAAAGTTCTTAGAATGCTACAAAATCCCTAAATCTGACTACTCCTGTCTCCCATTTTCCTTTCTGACTGCATTTCCTACAATTAGCCATCCTCCTTGATCAGTCTTGCTTTTCCCTCTACCCTTCCTGCTATCCTTTGAGCATACTAAGCACACTGTTGCCTCAGGCCTCTGTATTTGCTCTTCTCTATCTCTGGGTAATTCCCCTTTTCCCCATATCTAAAGGACTGTGCTTTCAAATCTTTGTTCAAACGTCAGTAAGACTTTCTTTGATCACTCTATTTACTACTGCAACCAACTCTCCCATTCGTAATGCCTCCATCTTTGCATGTGAAGGCACAGGAAAATATGAACAAAACTGAGGAGAAACATCAACCAATCAAAACTGAAAGAGATGCTGGAATTAGCAGACATGGGTATTAAAAGTTGTTATAATTGTATTTCAGAAGTTTAAAAAGCTAAGTAAAGACATTAAATGTATAAAAGAAGGTCCTAGTTCAGTTCTCTCTAAACTTGTACAATGTCTGAGATGAAAAATACACTGCTTTGGAGAAACAGCAGGACTCAATAACTACTATTATCTGATCTTTCCTTCTTAGAAAGAAGGGTAAAAGGAAAGATGAAAGGAAAGAACATCTCCTTTGCAATGCAACAGAACATTTCTTCCTATCTTTGACTATCCAGTCTCTTTAACACAGATGAGAGAATTAAGCAATACCTTTAATAACATAACTGCAAGAAAATGAGTTACATTCCATACTTTTAGTTTACTGGTTATTTTATTATAGTCCAATACTTAAAAGTTTCTAACTCACATTGTCAGTTCTTAAGTTTGTAGAAAAATAGGAAGTAGCCCATTCATGCAGATTAGTGCCCTGGCCAAATTTAAAAACTTTAAAGAAAAAAAGCTTACCAAATATTTCTCCATTTTTGGCATATTCTGTCACAAGGTACAACATACTCTTGGTCTCCATTACCTGTTGATAAATAATTCCATATTAGTCTGACAGGAAGGACTGCGCTTACTACAACATTCTATGGGATTACCTAAAGGAAATTATTAACAAAAGAATCAATTATAAACAATGCGGAAGCTGGTGAAATTTATTAAGTCTGACTATATGCTAATATTTTTGGGGAAAATCTAGATCCTTGGTCTTATAAGTGTATTCCAAGGTCCAGCAGTAATAGCACTGCCCAGGTGCCTGTTAGAAATGCAGAATCTTAGGCCTCGCCCCAGACCTACTGAATTAGAATTTATATTTCAACAAAATTGTCAAGTGATTTGTAGGCACATTAAAGTTTAGGAAATACTAACATGGATAACAGAAGTTTATAAGATTAACTTTTCAATACCTCCTCATGGAGTTTTTGAGCCCTACCTTATCATTGTGTCCCGATTAAGAAAAGAATAACAAAATAGAACAACTTAAGTTTATCTGACTGTTGCCTGGCACAATGTGCTTAATCCTCCTACAACACTTTAATATTGTTATAAAGTACTGAAATTTTAAAACATTATTTGCAAAGTTCTTCTTCATAGTTTTACTGTTATATACTGTTATTTAAATTAGTTTTTCTAGGTTCAGAAAAAAAAATGTGTCACTGTCACCAATTTGATTTTCAAACTATATTGAATAGGTAGCTAATTAGAAAGAAAATTAATTTTCAGATTCAAGATAAGAGATTTTTAGCTTTCTTTTCTGTAACACTCTTTAAAAGCTATCTACTGAAGGTTGAAAACAAATTGTGTCCTAAAATATAGGTTTAGGAACCCACCCCCCCAGGCAAAACACTAAGAGCTATTTATAATTTGGGACTAAACAATCAATTAGTAATTCAACTTCAATCAATTACAGTATAAATAATGATAGAATCACTATGGGACTCACAGTTTTATCCTCAGTTTAGCTTATGGTTCCGAGATTCTAAAAATATGATTAGATTTTTGGAATTATCTCTCTTAGGAATAAAAAAAAAGCTTACAGGGAGAAATAATCTTGATATAAACTTAAGCTAAGAGGCCTCTACAGTTTTAGATTTTAGGAAATGTTTTGAATGACACATTCTCTCATTCTTAGGAGTCATGTCATAAACTGATCTCCAATCTTTTAAAACTGTAATGTTCTATCAATACATGTTGCTTAGCCAAATATATATGTATGTATGCATGTACATGTATGAAAACACATATGTGAATAAATATTTGTGCATGTGCCACAGTATAAACATGATTATAAAATGCACACAAGAGGACACCATAAATATAACAAGAAATTCTAATGTTTTCTTCTTCCTACACTCCCAAGGACACTCATGCTAACACATTTGAGTGCACAATGGTATGATAGTAAACTGGCTTTCTGAGAAAAAAAAAGGTCCTGATTTGTAAGCCAATTTCTGTGGTATAAATATTTGTGGGTTCTAAGTTACTAATATGATGTTAATCAGCTCCTAAAACTCTGAAAATTTAACAGTCTTACAAGCCAGGATAGGCTGAGTCCAGCATACCACAGGTGCACATATCATACATCAGATTTTGGAGATCAAAGTCATAAGTCAGCACAGCCCTTCAGTTTAGAAACAGTTTTCCAATTAAAAAGTCTACATATTAATGAACAAAAATATTTAAAATATTTTATATTATCATTAATCATGACATACTTTTTAAAGACCTGAGAAAATGTTTCTTTTTAAAAAACATGGTTTATAATTAAAAGAGATTCAGATTATAATACAAAATTATCTTAATAAAAATGATTTTTAAATGATTTATTTTCATTATTTGATAAAATATGTCCTGTCAAAAAGATTTGGTGCTAGGTATTACAAAGAATGCCACTAAGTAATATACTAGACTCTGTATTTAATAAAACATAAACAATATTTTTTTAAATAAGCAAAAGTGTCATATCCTCATTTATGGTGCCACCATCAAAACTCAGCAGGTTCAAACAGGGTATAAATAAATAAATAGGAATCTAAGCACCAACTTAAAATTAAACTAGTAGGGCTGGTAGAGTGGCTCAAGCAGTAGAGTACCTGCTTAGCAAGTGCGAGGCCCCGAGTTCGAGCCACAGAACTGCAAAAAAAAAAAAAAAAAAAAAAATAGATAAAATTAAGCTACCAGTTAGCTTCAGATTTGCAATTTCTTAATTTACAGATAATAGAGAAAAATGGATGTGCTTAGGTTGATAGAAGCACATTTCTTTTATAGATCATAAAAAGTAACATAAAAGGAAAAATCACAATGCAAAACATCCCTATTTTGCACTGAATGTGGAAAGCATGAATAGGCATAAGGCTAAGCCTACCTGATAAAGTTTGATTATGTGAGGGTGGTCTAACATTTTCATTATTTGCACTTCTCGGTAAATTTTCTCGAGGTTCACTGCATCCAGCTGAGATTTATCTATTATTTTTATCGCCACCTGCATCCCAGAACACAAATAAATATAATTAGTATATAACAGTTAGCTTTATTCAGTTAATACTCCATTTAATAAGTGACATCTGACACTTTGCCTATAGGTTTCTATGAGAATGAAAGCAAGTTTAAATTCAATGCTCATTAATTCATTTACTCAATAAACAGCTCTTAAACCATATGTAAGGCACTGCAGTAGATTTTGTTTAGCAGTGTCTTCAGTACTATGAAGAACAACTGTTCAAAGTCACTTTAATAAAATATGTTGCACTCAATGTCCTTTCTATATATCTACAAGATGAAAAATAAAATATTAGTAATTTCACCCAGTTATCTCATTGGAAAGTACCTACAAAGTTAGGATCTGCCAAACAGAAAGCAGTTTAGAAAACAGTTTCTGTTGTACTGAAACACTGCTTTTCTACAAAAGCAAATGATAAAGATATACATTTCTGAAAAAAAAAAGTTGAGTGTAAAAATATCAATTGGATTAAACTTCATTTTAAAAATCAAAATGTAAAAAACAAATGTGAAGAGTTATACTTTAACTTTCTAAAAGGAATTTGATCTCAGAAAATGTGCCTTCATTCTGTCATAACTAAATAGGAACCCAAATAATTCCGAGGTTAATAATTTGAAGGAATTACATTTGAAGGTGAATGACTGTGTAGTCAGAAATCAATAATCACACACTTTTTGTTCAAGAACAACTAATATTTTTAAAAATTAGTAGATAGTTGGTTGGAAATAAGGCAATCTGATTTAAATAAAATTTTCAGATAATGGGAACTCCCCAAATTTAATTCCATTGTGAAGAAACTCTAAAATACACTTCATGTTCTATCAAAAACTATTCTAAATATAATTTAGTATTACGCTGTTATTTTGAGGTAACTTTTAATGTCAAGTACTGTATGTGCCTTAATGGTTCAATATTCTGAAAAGGCCTGCAAGAAAATGGAACTCAGCATGTCATTTTACCTCATTCCCTCGGTCTCTTGTTCATAGGATTAGATTTTTATTTTTTCCTTATGGTTGCTTTGTCCTTTGCTGTATTTCTCAGCACTTACTGTATATTTCTCTATTTCTAACTTGTTATGCAACTTGTTTCTGATTTAAATTAATTGTAACTCACAGAACAAACCAAGCTTTCCAGGGGAAATCAGATTACTAATACAATGTGTAAAATTAAATGTACTGCCTGACAAGAAAAGTGAAGGCTTCTTTTTAAAGCAGTAAAGTGTGAAATCTATTTTAATTTTATTTGGTGGGGCTTTATTTCTTATCATATTCAAAATGTTCTAGAGAGTTAAAGGTGTCAAACTTTGTTACTTAACACTGTCCTTGCTATTAGAGATAGTATTGGACTACTCAAACCTAAAGACATGTAAAGAGACTCCTTTCTTCCAGTTAAGAGCATGACAGAATCCAGGATTATGACTGACTTTGGGTAGATGCTGTCAGATAAGAGGGTAGGGGTATACTTGAATTTCTTCAACTTTCTTTGGGAAGGTCACATGGAGTTTCCAGACATGCTTATTTTGAAGAAAATACCTTGTCCCACAATTACTACACTGAGTCTTTCATTATGAGATAGGCCACAGTGGCATAATAAATCAAATTGGAGAGAATGAAATCATGGTTTTTAAAAACTCAGCATGATTATCATCATCAGAAAATATTGTATATATCTTATTTAATGTTGAGGAAAGTTTAGTTTACAAAAATTAAAGCAAGGTATTACCCAAAGATATTTTTATATTGTTTTGGAATCTTGGCCTCAACAATAAAAAAGTAAAAAAAAATTTTTAAACTAAAAAAATATAAATTATCAAGTTAAACTTTAAAGAAAACATTAGAAGTCTCATTATTTTTTCGTATGAGAAAAAAAATCTCTGACAATTCTCTCTTCAGTTTTACCTTGAGTTACAGACAAATCTATACCACTCTTTATAAGGTTTATAAGGCTGCTAAAGGAGGATTATGCTTCTCTAAAGAGAATATAGAGCATGTATTAACATGCTCCCTGTAATATGGAGAGTCTAACTACTTTAACAAGCAAACCCAAAATGTATAATGATTCAAGGACAAGCACAACAGAAGTTTACTTCTTGCTTATGTAGCAGAATTGGACGGGTGAAGTTAACAGCTATGAGACTCAAAGAGGCTTTTCTATATTTAAGGTGTGGCTTCCAAGGTTACCCTGGAGATTGGCTCTAACCAAAAAAAAAAAAAAAAAAAAAGCAGGGGTGTGTGGGAGTGGGGGAAGAAATAGTGCCAAGGGGGTCTCATGAGACCTGGGAGCAGTACACATTATTTCTCCTCATTCCATTACTTAGAATAGTCATGAAACCATACCTAAATGCAAGGGACCCACAGAAACAGTCTGGTTGCCAGTTGGAAAGCAGAGGGAACAGTAGATTTTTGGTAATCAGCTAGGAGTCTCAGCCGTGCTCAATGTAGGTCTTTACCAAGAACTTCCCAGAAATACAGTAATATTGATATGACTTTCAACTGTATGGCACTTTTAAATTTTACATGATACCATAATGTATTTCATTTCATTTATTTCTCAATTCTGTTTAGTAAATGGATGTAGAAGTATATTATGAGTTGATGAAACTGAGGTTCAAAAGGTATCACATATTAGCATACATGAGGTTCTAGCTTCAAACCCAGTAAACCCCTCCCCTCCAAAAAAAAAATAGTCACATTATCTACAAAAGTCCTAAAGCTCTAGTGAGGTGTTTTTTTTTTTTTGTGGGGGCAGGGGTACTGGGGTTTGAACTCAAGGCATATATCTCAAGCCACTCCACCAGCCCTTTTTTGCAATGAGTATTTTCGAGATACAGTCTCACGAACTATTTGCCCAGGCTGGCTTCGATCTGCAGTCCTCCTGATCTCTGCCTCCTGAGTAGCTAGGATTACAGGCATGAGCCACTGGCACCTGGCCATAGTTGAGTTTTAAAGGGAAAAATCCAGCCTGGGATTAAAAAAAAAAAAAATTTCATGAAATCTGATTCTGACTCTCAAGGAACTTAACAGGTCTGTGATTGATGAACAAATTTTATCAAAATAAACTGTATTTTGGAATTTCCCAAATGATATACTGAAAGTTCCCAACTTACAAAAAGGTTGTGTTCTAATAGTCTATCTTAAAGATAAGGATGAACTAGGATTTCTAGGACCTTACTCTCAGAACCCCTTCTCCTATGTTCTTAACATAGGACCATGGGCAAAATCTGCATAATCACAAGAAAGTCAAGGCCAAGCAAGAGTTTTTGTTGGCCAGTGCTGGTGGCTCACGCCTGTAATCCTAGCTGATCAGGAGGCACAGATCAAGAGGATTGTGGTTTGAGACCAGTCCAGGCAAAAAAGTGAGACCCATCTCAAAAATACCCAACACAAAGGAAAAAAGGGCTGGCAGATGGACACGATGGCTCATGCCTATAATTCTAACTACTTAGAAGGCAGAGGTCAGGAGGATGGCAGTCTGAAGTCAACCTAGGCAAATAGTTTGCAAGACCCTAACTGGAAAATACTCAATGCAAAAGAAAGGGCTGGAGGAGTGGCTCAAGTGATAGGATGCCTACCTAGCAAGCATGAGGCCCTGAATTCAAACCCCAGTACTACCAAATAAAAAAAGTTTTGTTGCTGTTCATCTAAATTATTCAACTCTCTGATTCTTAATTTTACATGCATTATCTTAAAAAGAATAAATCAATGAGTTCTTATGGCAATAGAAAAAATAATGTTCTTTTTAATAGGGAACAAAAGGAAGGCTTCCTAACTCAGGAGGGTATACAAGATAAATGAGAACCACACTGAATTCCCTGTGAAGTAGCAATACTGAATATTCAACCTCAGAAATACTCAGGAAAATGATTTTAAAACAAAACCTTTTTCACTCCTTATATTTACCAAGATTGAAAAATAAATGTCCCTATGAAGTAAGGTTTAATGAGATGACCATCTTTTACAGATTGCTGGTAGGAATATAAAATTGGTTATAATTTTACTAGAAAGCAGTTTGGCAATCTTAAGGACTTTATAAATCATATAATCCATTAAGCCAGAGGATTCACTTTCTAAAAAAATTTGAATAATCTGAAATGACAAAGATTTTTATATAAATATAAGTAATACAGTATTATGTACAGTACAAAATAGAAATAATTATGAAATTATATGATTATAGTTATGTTTACATTATAAATACTATAAAAATGGTTCCTTCTAATATATGGGAAATGCTTAAACTAGTAAATAGAAAATCAGGAGATCTGTGAGGTTTCAACACAAGATATGAGTAGAAAAAGACAAGAAAAAACTAGATATAAAGAGTCATTTGATAGGACTTTTAAATATATACTTAAGAGATATAAAGAGCTTAATGGTACTAATTAATGCTACCCATCATAATTATTATCCTAAGATGTTATATGCAATAAAAATTGGTTTTCCAATTGCTAAACATTTAAAAACATTCTTAAAAAAAAGATTCATTTGAACATGACAAATAAAGGTTCAGATTGTGTATTAGTATTCTGCTTTATACTTCTTTTGTGCAATTTTTCTTAAAATTACTTTCCTTATTAGAAAAAATTTATTATATACGCTAACTTCTCCATCTGTGAAAAAGTATAGTCATTTTTGTTTCCTTACTTTCTAAATTTCCTAGGATATGGCTACATTATTTTATATGACTTACATATCAATTAAGATCATATACAGAAATGCTTCCAAAAATGTTAAATAAAAACATGAATGTAACAACTATGTAGAATACAAATTTGCAAGAACAAGAAACTAAATGTAAGAGCAGAAATAAAATCTGTTAAACTAATAAATAAAAGAACTGTTATTTTTCAAATTGTAATTTAATGTTAATTTTAATTTTTCAATAATTTCAGAAAAAAGTATCACTTATAAAAGAGTATTAATCTCATACATTTAAAGACATGTCACACAAAAGTAGCTTTGGGAACTTTTAACAGAAGTTGA